CAGATTATCTTACACCAATAAGCTGGAGCAGTCAAGCCTAACGCCTTGGCAGACAAAGAGCTGAACGTCAGCTTACTGAGGCTGAATGTCTCTAGAGAGGCCATGTAATGAAACTGCCCTAAACCCCTCAACTGCCCTAGAAGGCTTCCGTCTCATGGACTTTACCAGGATCTGTTATCCCCACCACGAGCAGTTTGCTGAGCACATCTGCCACCACTTGCACTGCGGTCTGGCTAACCACGTGAGCGTGGCCGCTGATGAGGTGGACAGAGGGCGTGAGCAGGCGGGAGCAGGTGCGGGCAGCTTCCATGCGGATCTCCTTGTGCTCACTGTTCAGGAAGTGATCCGCACAGTGGCGGACAAACTGGGTCAGAGAGTGTCCTGGATACAGAGGCAGAGAGGAAACAGAATAAACACTGGTGCTTCGCACAGTAGGTCTGCAACTTGCTACCTGCAGTTTTCATTTTGTGGCTACTAATTCAATTTTCCATAAGATATTGGATCAGCGAGATATTGACCCAGAATTCTTCGTAACAAAATGAGCTTCCAGTCATAAGAAAGGCAGAAGGGAGGTGGAGAAGGACCTAGGGGGCAGGAAACAGGCATCTCTCCATCTGAATCCTTCCTTTATTCTCTTCAAAGAATAATCATATTTTAAAATTCTGACCTAAACCCTTTATATTCCCAGAGAGTAAAATAATTCTTGATCGAATTTACCTTGCCTAGTTTAGTTCCCAGATTTAAATACCAAAAATACAGTCTGATGTAGGCTGGGTTTAAATATAGCTACTTTCTATTCGTTACAAATAAAATTGTCCTGGGTGTTAATCAATGTAAGTGAAAGGACTGCAACAGGGAAACCACAGATGGCTCTAAGTATTTAGGCGGCATATTGAGGCTTTTTGTACTTGCTTGTTTTCCTATAATCTTGACTAATACCACCTACACAGTCTTAAATTTCGAAAGTATCCATTTTTCTCTCCTGAAATAATCTCTCTCTAGGGCATTAATGGGGGTTTATCTGCAGCCTGGAATTCCAAGCTGAACGACACAGTACGGCACTCTTGGAAATCACACCGCCATAGAAATACAAACACCCCAAAGCCCCTGCTTATACATTTTAAGGCATTAAATTCCGTATCAGCTATGGGGAGGTAGAGAGGTGAGAGGGACCCATCTCTGCCTTTTCCATCTCTGAAGCATTAGTTCCTTGGACCAATGCATGCTTTTCCTGAACACCATCTACCCCCAATCTCAGTACTGGGCAAAGAAACAAGCAGTAGGAATTAACAATACATGCAAAGAATTTAGGAAGCATGAGCTGCTGCAGAATCAGCTACCCCGTGTCCAGGACCACTAGCAAGATCCAGGAATTCTAGGCACCCTCATCCCTGCCTTGAGGTTCCCAGCATCACTCACTACCTTTGCAAGAGCCACTGCAATTTCTTACCTTCAAATTCAAAGCTGCCAAGAGTTCGGAGGGCAAGAGTAATGCTGCCCACATCACTGGCCTCGGGGAGGGTTGTGAGGCCAGGGGAAGCCAGCTGATGGGCCAGGCCCTTGGGCATGCCTGGGTGCCGGAGCGGTTTGTGCATAAGGACCAGGGACAGCATCTTTAGTAGCCCGTCTTGAATGTCCTTCTTCAGCTGCGGAATCTGACGGCTCAGGTCATAGAGCACAGCTGTGAGGGCGGGGCTAAGGAGAAGGAAATCAGTCACATATGGGGCTACACACATGCCATTCAGTCTATTCTTGAGAAGACACAGTCACACTTGTCCAGCAAGGGGATCGGGCCATCACTGCTTGGTCTTTAAAGTAGAAATGACACTATGAAATAGAAAAAAATGTCCTGAACTCTCTTGGCCTGGTCACAGATTTCAAAACAATCTATGAGTTTCTGGTTTTTTGCCATGGGAGAACTTGCTTAATGTAATCCGGCCACTGTACAAGAGCAAGTCTCAATAAATAACCTGGGAAGCAGATTGAGAGCATCGTCCTTGTTTTATAGATGGAGAAAACTAAAGTGTAAGAAGCTTGAGCAATTTGCCTAATAATAATATAAATGATCACTGTAAATATTGATTGAACACTTATATGTAAGGCACTGTGCAAAGAGTGGCTATTTCATGAACTCTCACTTAATCCTTAACCAACCCTANCCAGCCTCTACTCCTCCTGTCCCAGCACCCCAAGCTCCCACAGTCCTCTCCAAAGCATAGCTTTTTAACACTGTAGCACAGTCACAGAAGACTGCGAAAACCAACAGGAATAGCTGTGACCAGGGTTTTGCAGAAATGAGGAATGAAGGAAGGGCTCTCTGCCAGAAAAATCTCTGTCCAGATAGCAAATCACTAGGAGTGCCTATAAATAATGACAAAGGAATCAAAGAACAGTCCGACAAATACGATGTTGAAACAGATACTCAGTAGTGGTTTCAGGCACATCTAGATAAACCCAAATCGTTAGGGATAATATCAATAGACTCCCCTTGGACCTTAATGAACAGAGATAACATGTTTGTTCTGATATCCTTAAACCAGCAGCAAATCACACGCTACACTCATGGTGATTACACTCCAAGATTACACTTCTGAAGAGCCGAGGTTGCCAGAGGGAATCTCTGAACAGTGAGAAAAGTGAGAAAACAAAGCTCATGTTAACTCAGCTCAGAGGAACGTCTACAATTTAACGTTATATTTTGTCTTAGGTTATTGACTTAAGAATCTGATTTTCTATAACCCTTGGCAGGCTGTTCTTCCCGTCACAGCAGATCGCAGCGAGAGGGGATGGAGTGGGGTACTAAGAACAGACCCACAACAGCAAGAGATGGCTGGCTGGGAGGAAATGGGTACCAGTGAGGAGAGCGTGACTCTCTGGGGCAGTGCAGGGCCAAATCAAAGTCCCCCAAATTCATTTCCTGAGCCAGAGAGCATCGCTGCGCCCTAAGAACAATACCTGATGATCAAGACATAAAGAAAAGGCCAAAGCACATTTAGGTAATGTCCTATCAAGGCATGAAAATGTGCAATTCAGCTTGGGAGAATCTGTATCAAAGTTTAAAACCAAGAAACATTATTTAAAATTTTAGAGTTTCAAAGGCCTAGTTCAGTAGATGGTATGTTCGTTCATTCAGTGCTGCGTCTCCAATGTCGGAAAAGTGAGATGGCCTGACAACTTATTGTAAGCTTCTAGAGGACACAGGCACATCTGGCTTGTTCACTGATGATATGCTTCCAGCACCAAGCATATGTGGAACATAGTGGGTGCTCAAAACGTCTGTTAACTGAATGGACACATACTGATATTCTCATTAGGAGGTATTTCTACATCAAGCTAAACTAGCATGATTTGAGCTGGCAGGCTCAACAATGATTTCTTCTCCTTCCCAAAACCTTAGGTATTTTTAAAAAGACATCAAACAATGGGCACGCCTAACACAGGCCAGCAGTTGAAGAAATAAACCATTAGTCTAAAAACAGAAATGCCACAGTAAGTATAATCTTCTAATTGGTTGATTGATGATATAATTNGAGGCTGAGCTAGCTGCGCCCTCCACAACCAAGATTGAAGGACAACAATTTGGCCAATTCCCCAATTCCCCTTCCCCAATTCCCCAATAAAATCTTTAAAAAAAAAGAAAAAAAGACAGAAAAAAGAAAATGACATTTGGTTGGAATAGTTGGGAGGCCCACTGTTAATTAAACTTCCACACTTTCAGAAATAAGCCTGCCCTGATGGACACGGGGTTAAGTCTAAAAATGCCCTTGCACCCCACACTCTACCCAACCTCTCAGCAACGTGTCCAAAGGCAAAGGGGCTCCAGGGCCAGACCACCCGCTGGACAGACGAGCCCTGGAGTGTGACTGTTGCTGGTTTTTCTACACCCCAGGCCCTGCCTCAGATTTCCCTATCGATTAAAACAGGGAGAAAAAATTCTACCCGCTTCCTCCCTGGGTGCCATGGGAACAGAAAACATCAGAGAAACACTAACAAGGAATGAGATGGGGTGTTATTCACTTCTCTTTCATCAGCCCCCAAAGCAAGCACAGACTTAGCCCGCTGACCCTTGACAAAGAACCTAGACAGACATGAGGACACTGGACACACTGGGAAGCAGCATCCCTGCTATGATTCAAGAGGAAACGACTGACTTTTCATTCAAAGTTGGGAAGTGAGTCAATACGCTGTAATTTCATAGTTATCCAGCCTAAGACGCTTTCTAAACATGGCCGGCGAGGGCTCTATGGCTCCCCTCAGCTTACAGGAATCCTGGCTGGACTTGGATTCTGACAGGCTGACAGCAGAAGCATCCCGGGACTGGTCGATCATGCCGATGTTGACTTTGTGCTTATAGGGATCCAAGGCCCCCAAAAGCCCCAACACACGGATAGCCTGTGTGGGAAAGGAGAGGGNTCAACCAACCCAAAACATTTACACCTATGTCATCCATTTGGAAAATGCTGAAACTCAGCTGAAGAAGGGCTGCTCTTTACAGGATTTGCTATTCCCTGGAGGTTAATGAAGCAGAGAACGGGCTTAAGCTGCCTGGAAACTGGGACGGGGCATCCTTCCTCTCCAACCCAATGGGGTAGAAGGTGAAATCACAATAGAGACACTTACTTATGGGCGAAGTCCTTCGGGGGCAGGGCTGCTCGGATGATGTCCAGCACTCGAGGTAAATAGACCTTAAATTCAGACCTCACGGCCACAGAAAGTAGCCCCAGAGCTTGGAAGGCTGCTGTACGTTCCTTCTCCTTCTTGACACAGCTTAGGACATGGTTCATGGTATCCTGGAGGTACTGGGTATCTGAGCACAGAAAAGACAAAGTGTATGGCTCAAGGTCAGGACTGGTCTATATAGCAAAGGTCAGCATTCCTATAAAACAAATTCAAGAATAAATTAAGGAAGACTGTTGGAAAGATGTTAAGAATTTAGAGGATGTACTAACCAAACTTTTATGCTTAATAATCACTCCTCATATACACCTTTTGGAAATATTAAAAATATAACGTCTTTTTCTTTTAATTAAAAAAAATAAAAAACTTAAAGGGCCTCCAAAAACAGTATCACATAATTGTCCCCATTAGTGTTGTATTTTGAGGGCAAGATTACATGCACCTGTTTAAGAAATATATGTTAAATCTTGTATAAAAACAGAGAGGAACAGATCACCTAAACTATTTCATACTATATTGACTATTATATATTATAAGTGTAATATTGAATACTGCTTTTATGAAACAGGCCACTCCATTCAGCTTAGGCCCTGGGAATCACTGCTATTGCCTAGAGATTTGTTACAGTTATATTTAATAGAACAAGATGTAGGCTATAATTTGGAAAGCCACATGTGTATTTTCATTAAGTTTACATAACCCAATGTGCATGGGTAGGCAATTTTGGGCAATTTAAGCTAAAGTGTTATTACTCCTCTGAAGGCTATAATTTCTTAATTCTTTCCTCTTATATTTCTTCTCTTCCATCTTGCTGGCCCCAAGTTTACACACCAGAAGTACATAATAAAAGCAGAGAAGGAAAGACTACACATCCATTAGAAAGTTAGGGGTGTTGATGGCTACCGAACCACAGTTAGGAGACAGTGAACTAGACTCCCAAACAGCACATATACATCGCTGCGTTTATTCTAACGAGAAATGTCTTCTTCCACAGCCCTTTTAGGCAAATGACAATGAAGCATGCTGGACTTGAAAACTGTCAGAAGACCGAGGTTCATACAACCCCAAAAGCAGAGTGCATCAACAGGAAAACCAGGCCTTTGCATAGGGGACAGCATTTCGGCAGGAAATGAGCTTAGGTCAAGAGAATAAGTTCCTTTTCTGGATTTAGCACCCTAAGAGATCAGGACTCTGACACTGTTAGAAATTCCATTCCAATCTTAAGGTATTTTTGATATGCCCAAAGCTTACATCATCAGGAAATTCAAGCAATGACTTCCAAACTGCAAGCTTTAAAGAAGTAGCACTTTCCCAATGAGGCGCATACATATGGAGGCTGCCTAGGCTGAATTTCAATGACATATTTTAGTATCTTATTTAATAAAACAACAAAAACCCACATCAAAAGAATAAAGCGAGGGGCCCTCTGAGCCTTTGTATCATGCTGCTAGGCAGCCTTTTGAACTTACTAGGGGAACTGCTTCCACAACGTGCCAGACTTTGATCAATTTAGCCTAGTTATTAGCTTCTTTTGAACTACAGACTTTCAATCCAAGATCATTTAAAGCTCTACTGAACCAGGGCATGTTTAGTCATTAAAAAGGAGAAAAGCTGCTGGGTATCAGGTGGGAAGAATAGAAGGAGAAAAAATACGGGCGATTTTCATTATATCATTTCTCTCTGGTTCAGTGATTTGATGCGGCTAATTGCCTCATCCTTACTCAACACGTTCCGTTCTCACACACAGCACATCTAACAGCTCAACAGCCACATATTTCTCCTGCTGTTTCATGGGTGGCGTGAAACGAGTCCGTGCTAGGGAACGGCCTCTGCTGAGGGTCAGGCCGGCATTCCTCTTCCACTCCTGGCTCTGATGTCAGCCGGGATGTTTAGTAAGCACAGGCAAAAGGCACCACAGTGAAGGACAGAGATGTCCAGGATGGGGCCGCTACACTCAGCGACGCGGGAGGCGAAACAAGGACGATAAATATGAACGGGCAACTGGAGCATTATTAGACTGTTCACCGCATTTCTAGCGTGGACTGGAGGAAGCTAGAAGAGGCAACGATACAATGGTGCTTTCCATTTATGGGGCTCACTCTGTGCCAGGCCCGTAGCGTTAAGTATCTGGGCACTAATGCAGTTCACCTTGTGAGGCAGGGACTATTATCCTAACTTTACAAGCCAGGGAAGGCCAAATAACCTGCCCAGAACCCCACCACTACAGACAGCGGCAGGATTCACCCCAGGTCGGATGCCCAAGCCTTTCCACAGCTAGGGGCTATAACGGAACAGAAAAAGAATATTTCCAGCTGGAGTAATCAGGAAGGCTTCAGGGGAAAACCAGTATCTGAGCTGGGCCAGGAAACAGGAACCAGGAATGCACACTGCCCGGTGAGAACGGGGCAGGAATGTGGGAACCCTCAGTCTATCATCCATGAAGCCTCTGAAACATTGAGTCCTTCCTTCCTGTGAAAGGAGACGCATCTAGGTGACCACCTCAGGGACAGAAGCACAACAGCCACCAAATCCTCCCTGCCCCACAGAGAGGCTGCTGCAGTATCTAAAATGGAACTGCCCTTCCTTGGGTCTCTTTTTAGCCTGTTCATGAACTTGGTGGCTTCATACATGAGGACTTGCTTGGCTCTAGCACTGCTTCTTCGCCTGCACATTTGGATTGTTCCTGTACCTGCTGCCTCAGACACCTGTAGAAAACCTGAACTGGATACCACTGAAACCGGACATGAGGCAAGGAAACTAGAGACCTGCCTCTAGTTGGCATTACTTCCAATGAGAAGCAGACATAACTTTTTGCAATCACTTCTTCTCTGTTACTGACCCCTAACTGGGTGACGACATCTCCCACGGACATCCTCACCTGTGAAGGCAGAAGGTCGGAATGCAGCCAAGCGGGGTAACAAGTTAAGGATTGTCATTTGGATCAGCGAGTTCTTGCTATTCCTGCATTTCAGCACCCACTGGCACACCTGAGAGAGGAAGGATACAGGGTTGGCAAAGGAAAGGGAGGTGGGGAGCTTCGAAGGAGAGGGAGCGGGCCTCTTGCCACCTACCTGATCGAACTTCTCCTCCATCAAGTCTCTGCAACACCGACTCTCCACCAGGGTGGACTTAGCTGGGCTGGGGGAAGCCCCAAAGCCCATGAGGCCTTGGTGAGAGCTGTACCCCAGCAGTCCCACCAAGGCATTAGACTGCTGGGGCTGTACAGCCTGGAAACTGGAGAACGGGGTGATGTGACGAGGTTTCGTTCCGAAGCCCATGAGATCTTTGCAGTACTTGTCATGTACCAGTTGCTGCTGTGTGATCTCCTCCATTTCTTCTCTCAGGCGCTACACGCATGGGGGGAAAACACCATTACTTACAAGAGGCATCTGCCCAGGACTGTGCAGTTTACAGAGCAACACATTTGCCCAACCCTGAAATGAAGAAACTATTTCCAAAGTGGAGGATGGCCATTCTTCATCTTTAGGGTTGTGGATTCCCCAGAGCCTTGCAGGGGGCCTGATTTTATTCTCATTTAGGCAGATGAGCACCACCTACTGCACAGTAAAGATGCAGTACGGGGCTGGCTGCCAAGGACTCACCCCATCCCACCGCACCACACCCCCCAAGTTGGTTTGAAAAAGCAGACTTGCAAATTGCTGTGCCCACAGACCTAAGAGCACAGCAATGGAGCCTCTTGCAAAGGTGAGGGGCAGCCGCAGGCCAGCATCCTGTAAAGGACGGTCTGCTCTCCTGCTTTTTGCCAGAAACCCAGGTAAAAACAACTTAGGCAAACCATTGTCTCAGAATCCTAGGAATGCCACTGGAGATGTGCAATAAGCTGATCGGTGCAGAACTCGCATCTACTCTCTATGCAAAGGGCTGCTTGACAACTCATCTTCCAACAGCCCAAAACAAGAAGGCTATAAAATAATTGTCTGAACTTCCAAATTTTTCTCGACAGATATTTTTCTTTTTTGAAAAATCCTGTCTACTATTTTTGTCAAGGTCTCCAGTGACTCTTATGCTGCTAAATCTGATGGTCAATGTCAGTCCTCACCTTATTTGACTTACCTGCAGCATTTGACCGAACTTAGTATCTCCTCCTCCTTGAAACTTTCTTCACTTGGCTTCTTGGACCCCGCGCTTTCCTGCTGCCCCCTTCCCCTCTTCTTAATCTCCCTTGGTTGCTCATCTCCTGATCTCAGATTCTCAGACCCCATCTCTGCCCCGACTACACTAGTTCCCCCATGGTTCTCAGCCAGTCTCGTGACTTGAAACAGCATTTATCTGCTGACGACTCCCACATCTGTATCTCTCGCTCTTATATCTTCCCAGAACTACTCAATATCTCCGCTCAGACTCCCAACAGGCACCTTAAACTTAACCTGTTCAAAAGCAAACTCCTGCCCTTCTACCTTGTAGCAGATCTAAACCTGCACTTCTCATCTCAATCTTCCCATCTCAGTAAGTGGCAACTCCCTCCTTCTAGTTGTTCAAGCCAAAAACCTTGCCTCTTCTTTCTCTCCCATCAATCCCCAAATCGCAAATTCAGAATCCAGCCCCTCCTTGTACCTCCACAGCTCTCGCTGTGGTCCAAGCCACAAACGGCCCCTGCTAAGATGGCTGCAGTTCCTGCCTAACCTGACTCCTGGCTGCAGCCCTGGCCCCTCTGCTAATCCGTCTTCCACACAGCAGCCAGGGCGATCGTTT